TGTATATATATAATATATATATATCATATATATATATATCATATATACGTATAACATATTATATATATGTATCATATATATATATGTATGTATGTATATATAGATGTTATATGTATGTATGTATATATATGTTATATGTATGTATGTATATATATATGTATGTATGTACACGGTATATACGTACATAATCCGTACAGTGTATATATAAGCATATATGTATAATCATCTTCTAGAATGAGAAATCTCCATCTACAACCCACAGAAATCACGGCCGTTCAACATGGCCGTCTTCGCCCGCGCCCCTCCTCGGCACGGACTTGCCGGATCAGCCTTCCAACGCTGAAGCGTTAAGGGGTTATCTGCAGGATCAGATGTGTATAAACCAATAACAACAATCTAGTAATGACCATAATTGGCAATAACATACAATAATAGTCATACTTACTTCATCATAGTTACTTAAAACTCTTACATAACCATGAGTAAATCTGTGTACAACAAATAAAGACAGGACCGGTTTTGCTCACCTCGAGCTCCGCTCCACAAAAAAATTCGGCGAAGCGAGGCCTGGTGAGTTCACGGAGTCGTGGTACCGAGTAGGTCTTCAAGTCGAAGTTAAAATCCTGGCGAAAAATGATGAGCTGGGCAGCTGGGCATAGAAAAACCCATGTTTTTTTTTGGAATTTTATGATCTGTTGATGACCAGTTTTTAGACAGTTAAGAGTCAGGGGATTGATTTTAGGCGATATGATTCTTCTACTGAGGATGTCATCAACCCTCCAAGTGTTGTCCTCAGCATCATCTGCTCGCCAAGTGATGTCCGCCTTGAAGTACTCAATCAACTTGTCAAGCTGCTGGGGTTTCAATTCGTTGATTTGCCTCGAAACAAAAAACACAACATTGACATCCATTCAGGCAGAGGGATGGTGAGAGAGTGCTTGGGAACAGCCCCAAGCACTCCTGCTTCAAAAGAGGTGGGGGAGGCAGGTCAACATTGACCATTCAGGTCCAACATCAGCTTCACAGGGAGGCGGTGCTGGCACGAATTTCATGCGTGACAGCACATGTCAAACTTGTTATCAGGTCAGGTCAAATAGTTCAGGTGAAAATTCACATGAAAACCTAGTTCCTGATCAGGAAAAACCATAGCTCCCAATTTATCATAATTTATCCCTAGGATTGATCCCTTTTGGAACACCTGGCCTTTGAAGAACCTCCACAGTTGCTTGCAGGCTATCCGGAATCTTGTCCGGTTCCTGGCTGAGTAGCAATGGAATTGGTCCCATAGATATAAATTTCAGATATCCAGTTGGTCATACAACCTGGTTTGTTGTCCATCATAGATTTATTGGGCCGAATTAAATCCCAATAAAACAGGTTGTTTAGCCCCATGTAGGTATCTACACATAACCAATCAACCAAGGTTTTTCTTCACTGCTCAACCGGCAATCTTTGGTACATGAGAGCGAACAATTGAAATTGATGTCCCTGCCATGCCTTGTTTGGGCTTGCCTCTTTCTCCTGATGCAAGATGGCTGAATTCACTCCGCTTCACAGGTGAACATGTTTTTTCCCGTAGCCGTTGGCTTCGTCGTTAGTCTTTCCTGATCAGAATATATCAGAATCATCGTATGATGATGATATTCATGATCAAAGCATCATTCAGCTGGCAAAACCGAAAATCCCATGGCACCTGTGGTGTGGGAGACGGACGCTTCACTCCATTGGAGCCAGGGCTGCCTGGAAGGCGGCGAGCCCTGCTGGAGCCACAAACTAAACACACAAACGGTTCGGTTGCTTCGAAACGGTAGAAATGTGATAAACATTCGTGAACCCAATAATAAACATTAATAAACGATATCCCCAATAGTTCATTCTTGTGTATTATAGATGGTATTATAGACCTATTTGGGATGAAGGTACTCAAATCACTTTTTTGGGGAATAGCTGCAGAGCCACATGGCATCTCTCGGCACTGGAGTTCCTGTCGGCATCACATGGAAACATGAAAATAGATCCATAGTGATGCATAGAAAATCCCCAAAAAACATATTCATAGAAAATCCCTATACCATACCCTAACCATGAAAACATGGAAACATGAGTGTGGTGGTCCATGTCGGTTGCTACACCGAAGCATCTTCTCGCATCCATGTCACTTGCAAGATGAACCGTGGGCCGTGTCAACATATGTAAAAACACCTCATGTGTTTTTTTCCAATGAAATGAAATCTTCGATAATTTGCGTGTTTATGTGTATTTGATGTTCGATGGTAGATCCTTGCACCAGCTGATTCGGCCCGCACTTGAGGCCTCCATTCTTCTCATGATCAGCGCGGGCCTGGCCAGACCCATGTAGACCATGGGAGCACATCTGAAATTTGCGAACGGGGTCCTTGTCATCATATGGATCTGGAGCTTGCGGGAATAATTTGTATCTCTTCTGAGTAGTGACCAAAAAAATGTGCTTTGAGTCTCGTTGGCGGAGGGAAAAATGATATACAAAGGACTACAAAGGGGATCCACCACTTTTTGTAGTAATTATTTATGTCAACTGACTTTGCAAGTTTCAACCCCATTTGCTCACTGCATGCCAATCAATTCCTAAACCATAGAGTTTTCGGCGTCCCCCCCCCCCGCATTGCCATCCTTGGCGTAGGCTTGGGCCGCCTCCTTGAAAGGACCCAGGATATCCCAGGATATCCCAGGATATCCCCGGATTCAGCGAACAAAACTGGTGGCATCACTTGACCAACTGGTGTGCTATCTGCCTGGGAGTAAATCATCTCAACAAATGAGAGCTACCCAATGGCGTGAATCCCCCAGAACTACAGAAAAACGATTGGTTTACTCACTTTTGCGTCTGCTAATCCGATAGTTTCTTCAATGTATTAATATGGGTGTGTCTCAAGATTGGGAGTGCCCGTGGGTGCCCAAAAATTGCTGCCTTGATCCAAAGATATAGATCCTGGTTGATGAAATAGAGGGGTTTACCCCAAAGACTGCAACTTTCGGTGAAATCCCGCTAGACTTTGAGGCAGTGAAGGCATCATTCCCATCCCCCACCTCTTCTGTGTCGAAAGTGCCAAGGTTAGTTCCTTCGTAGCGAGCCCGCCAAGCAGGCCTCGAGGCCGTCCGAGACACTTTTGGCATGCAGAAGTTGGACGTAACTTCACCTCATGCTATGAATCATATTGAATCGTAGGGGAAGATAAACCATGAGATCAAACCAACAATAAAGAGGGCCAAGATGGGCCAAGCAACTGGGGATCATTTCAGGTCTTGAAAGAAAGGATATTTTTAGGACTACCAGTATCAACCAAATAAGATCATGATCAACGGCTTGGGGATGGAACATGATAGAACTGTAGAAAAATATAGAACATGAACCAAACAAATGGATACATGATATATGTATACATATCAATGAACATAGGGATACAACTTACAAGAAAATCAAGAGTTGAGAGATCTGATGGGAATGAGACCAACAATGCTGAATGCCAGTGAGGTGAATATAACACAATAAATACACAATATAACCTTCACGGATAGCTGGGAATTGCTGGATCCCACCAGCACTTTACCCGCTGAAGATCGTTTCAGGAGAACTTCAGCCGTTGTCCTTTGCTTGATGTTTTCACAGCGTCAAAAGGAATGGTTGTAGAATAACCACTTTCAAGTGGAGGACTACTAGTCAACGATCCTGAAAAAACGCGCCTGCTGCCGTCCTTGTTGTGGTTCGGCGCTGGAGACACCCCCATGTACATGGAGGTACACTCCTTTTTCCTGTTGGAATCCACGCGGATGAATAGCCTCAGCAGGGCTTGTGCAGATCATGGAGAGGAATTCTGGTGTGAATATTTTGGGGGTCAACTAGGGTGAACTGAATAGCGCTTGTGTACTGCCAAGGAGCCCCTGTTCATCCTTGCGATAAGCGTGTTTCCCCCCGGCCTGCCAGATTCGGGCAAGATTTCTTGGGAAGTTCTTGACCCCGGTGGTTGAATAGAAAAATTGGCAAGATGGTGGGTCCATTGGTACCCAGTGTTTTGCACATGTTGCGCTGTAGAAAGATTCGTCATAGGAGGAAGGGTCAGAGTGTCAGAAGACTTCCAGGCGGCTGCATGAACCACTCCAAATCTTCTACATTTCAAGTCCAGGGACTGATAAAATGTCTTATTGGGGCATAACCCAATTGAAGGATGAACCAAGAAAAAAGATTCAAAACCGACCGACATGCCATAAGTCAGGTGCCAAAGGCTGTCTGTATTTTCCAAACCGTGCCAGCTGGGCCAAGTTCTTTACTTTGGACCTGTCCGGTGCGGCTCTTCAGCATCGACAGATTGCTCCAATGTTTTCAAAGAAGTTCTTCTATAGACTCAAATAGCCAGAAATCCCAAGTGAATCAACACCTCTTCCAGCTGCCTTTACATTCTTGACACACCACGCATGTTTTCTAAACTTGGAGAAAGAAAGTGGCAGCAAGCAGCATTTCGCCAGCAAAATCTAGTGGTTGCCCCCTATTTCAGGGAAGCACAGCGTTCATGCCTTAGAAGTTCTCTGATGCGAGACGCTGACAACCTCCAAAGGCATACGGCATAAGGCACGGTTCATGGGGCCGTGGCAAATGAAGCAGTTGCCGTCAGTTGTGCTTGATGGTCAAACTTTGAACTTGGGTGTGTCTGAACATGGGCGATTTAACCCCAAATCATGATTTTCAGATATTTCAAGTGGGAAAATGATGATTGACCAGAAGGGATACCCGATTTTCAGACAAACCCACTTTGAGAATGTTGAGAATAAAGATATTCCATTGTGAAATACCCTGAAAGATATGATACGGACCACCTTCTTGCTCAAAGAAAAACACTGGAAGAAATTTCGTGGAAGCACATACTGGGTACTGCCAAAACGTATCTAGCCAGAGAGAGAGAGAGAGAGAGACAGAGAGTGAACCAGACAGAAACAGACCGTTTCCGCCTTGCAGATTTTACAGAAGAAATCGATAAAAAAAATTATTCAACTGGGTCGTCCAAAATGGGGCACTGGAGGCAATGGACCCATGTTCTCTCCGTTCTCATGACGTCGGGCCCCACCTTGGAGGCTTCTTGGTTCCTGTTCAGGGCACACATCAAATGTTAGGGATTTCGCGCGCTGGTCCCTTTTCAAGAATTAAATCAAAAAAAAGCACCATCCGACATCCAAACAGATTCACTGCTTCCAAACTTAGACCTTAGTTAAAGAATCCGCCGGCCCCAGCCGACAGCAGAGGGAGCGCGTGAGAGAAGAGGAATGCGACACAAGGGGCAACGCCCAGGAGGCCAAAGAGCACCAGCAGCATGCCAAGCCCAAAACGGAGCCCGTCCGTCCTTCACTGCTTGCCCTCCAAAGGGTTTGCTTTTTGCCAAGGTCCCCAAACGAGTTTCGCAAGGAAGCTGCCAGCACCAGCAACATGCCGAGCTCAAAGCATTCTGGGCGTGGCGGAAATGTTGTTTTTTGGGCCTCGGAGCTGCTTTTTGGAGCTAGTTTCTCTTGTTGGTTCAAAAAGCAACGTTAGGCACCACGGACCGCCTAAAACGGAGCCCGTCCATCCTTCACTGACATGGGCCATGTTGTTTTAGCCCTCCGAAGGGTTGCTTTTCCCAAGGTGTCCAAGCAAGTTTCCCAGGTAGCTGCCAGCACCAGCAGCATGCCGAATCCAAAGCGTGCAGAAAATCTTTTGGCGGCTTGGCTGTTCGTTTTGAGGCAGTAGCTGGCAGATTTCAAATCTGTTTTTTGAAGTTCCAAACGTAGGGGCAAAAGGAATAAGCACGAAGCGAGCAACAACAAGAAGCAAGAGGCAGGAGAGAGAAAGAAGTAGATGAAAGAAGAAAGCAAGCTGCAAGACTACTGCGGACGTGACAAATCTTAACAGTATGGACTTCTCTGGGATCGGCGGCAGAGGGCGTAGCCCTTTACTTATGATTGGGAAGCAAATCAATCGGAGACGATATTCCCCCATCATCTCCGTTTATCTCCGAAGACATTTGAAACTTATGTTCCACTCTTGTCAAATAATGTATATACATATTTGCTTATTTTTTTTTAAAGTTATCGTTGACCACCCAGGACCACCCAGAAACATTTGACAACACTACCGAGTTCATCGCCATTCACCAAGCCAACCATCCCAACCCGTCCTTGCGTCTCGGACCTGGGCAATAGGTTCCGATAGTCGAACGCGACTGGAAGGCGATCACCAGCAGTGCCATCAGCAACTATGGCAACTAGCCCATTTTTTGCACATCTATGAGCCATTATGAGCCAATGATTATCTCATGGAACTAGTGGATACTAATGGCATATTGATGCATATTGACTTATTCTGCATTAAGAAGAAGAAAAAGAAGAGAAAACACTACCAAAAACAAGAACGAGAACTGCAACACTTGCACATGCATATCCACTCATCGTCTGAATTCTCCTTACGAAGCTTGAAAGATTGAACTGAAATAAAATCATTCACAAGTTGTTGCTCCACACAAAACAAGAGTCAAACAACTAGACGACGGATGGCCCGAGAGCGAGAAAGGTGTTTGTAAAGCAGCTCTGAATATAGCAGTTAGTTAAAATGATGATATTACATAAAGAGAACATCTGCAGATATAGATGGACATATATGAGAGGGGGGAGATGTAGATCTGCGGGTGTGAGGGTGAGAAGATATTGATCTGCAGATGTGAGGGTGAGAAGATGTTGATCTGCAGATGTGAGGGTGAGAAGATGTTGATCTGCGGATGTGATGGTGAGAAGATCTAGATGAGCAGATGTGAAGGTGAAAAGATGTAGATCCGCAGATGCGAGGGGGAGGGAATGTGGATAGACAGAGGCGAGAGTGAGAAGATGCGGATGGTAATTTGACAGACGGACGTGTTTACACCCTGGTTAATCTTTTTTTACCCTCACCTTTTTACACACCTGCTCCCAGACACCTTAACACACAAACACACACCACCTTTTACACACAAACGCTTTTACACACAACCTCTTTAACATGAGACACACGAGATTTTACACACGGACTCTTTAAAACACACATCCTTTTACACACAGACGCGTTTACACGGAGACCCTTTTACACACGGACGCTTTCACACGCAGACACTTTTACACACAGCCGCGTTTACACACATTTTTACACACAACTCTTCTTTGACGTTTTTACACACAGACGCTTTTACACACAGACACTTTAAAACGCAAATCCCTTTACAACGAGACGCTTTTACACAGAGACCCTTTTACACACGGACGCTTTCACACGCAGACACGTTTACACACAGCTGCGTTTACACACAGCTGCGTTCACACACAGCTCCATTTACTCACGGACACTTTACACACCATCGCTTTTACGCACAGGTGCTAAGTGCACAGAAAAGATCAGTACCCTGATGCTTCGAAAAGCGCGTCCTAGCTCATTTTACAATGGCAATTCCCACACAAATTGCCAAAAAAAAGCTCGGTACCGTCATGCCAGGCGGACACAGACGCCTTTACAGACGCCGTCTTACTTACTTTTTCAGGCAGCCCTTGCAGGGACTAGCTCGGATGGATCGATGCACTGGTTCAGGAGTTGCCTTGGTCCACGATTCAATCTTCAGGAAGGAAATGACGAGACATCTGAATGCGAGCATTCCCAGGTGCCGGAAAAGGTTCCGCAGCAGATGGTGATGTCGCCACCTGACAGAATGCCGGTTAAGTAAGCAAGACTTTCCGACACGGACATGCAGCAATGCACACGTAAAGACAGGTGCCCTAAAAACGTTTCGAAATTCACACGTCTCGAGAAGTTGAAAAATACATGGACCACGTAAAGCAACTGGCGTCGCGCGGCGGGCTGTTTTTGCACGCTCGATCTGCAAGGACCAAGCCGTCCGCGGCACGTCAAAAGCCGACGCCTCGTGCACGGACAGACCCTTTAGCAGCAAGCCGTATAGCAAGCAAAGACGACGAGCACGGACAGACCCTTTAGCTCGCCTCGTCTCTGCCTCCGCACAGCTAGATGCTACCGTGCTGAATAGCGTCGCAAACTTCCCGGAAGGCTTGCTGGTTCCAAGGGCACGTCCTGCCGTCTTCCACGAACGGCACACGCAGGTACACCGGATCATGAAGCAACTTCGCACGCAGCCCCAACCTCTGCCCATCCGAGGAAACCAGGACGTGAAGGTAGTAGGCAGACGTGGAGCCAGCACGGAACTCGTTCAGCGTGCGCTTCCCGAGTTTGCCGTTTCTTCCGAGCATCTCGCGGAAACGGCCCAGCAGCTGCTTGGCCACGGGACCTTCCGGCGATCTGAGGTCCAACTCTCTCAGCTGGACTCGATCCAAATCTCTGAGCATCAACGTCTGCAGCTCGCAGAATTCGTAAAGAGGGCTCGTGCCCAGCGGCGGCGTGTAATCTTGGCAGCCGCCGGCGGCCTTTCCGATCACGACTCGGATGTGCACCGGAGGCGGCTCGCTGCTGGTGAGCAGCTTCAGCACAAGGGGCCCCTCTGCCGTGACGCGCTGGCTGAGTCTGGGCTGTGGGAACACAACCGTCTCTCCTTCCACCAGTCGAAAACTTGCGACGCCCCAATAATGACACCAGCAGCCAAAGGGCACGGCGTCAAGCCACGGTTGACCTCTGAGAACGAAGAGTTCCGCCACCACGTTGCCGGAGAGAGTCGTCACGGTACAGCGAACGCGATCTTCTGCGGCACCCGAACGAGGCATCTCGACGGGCAAAGGGTGCAACGAGCCGAGCGGCTCCGGCAAGCGGCCCAGAGGTGGCAGAGGGATCCTCTGTAACGCGTGACACGCTTCCGCACGAAGATCGTGCAACCTCCGTGGCACATCCAGAAGATGCGCAGTCTGCTCTTCCAACGCATCTTCATCGCGAGAGCGGCTCAGCTCGTCGGCCAAAGCTCTCAGTTCGT